TCCTTAACAAAAGCAAAACATAGCGTAATACAACACAACGACAGCATCGACAATGGTATGCCATGGAAAAGGCAATTTATTTTCCACATAAAACAATTTTGAAACATCTGCATGTGTGTTTATTGCAATCCCAAGCTCTTCCCGATATGTTCTTAATGTTGCATCGTTTTGATTTTGACCAGCCTGGTAATTCATTCAGGGTCTAAAACAAACTGTGATTTCGATGTGACAAAAAATAATATCGGAAAGCACTGTTAGTAGCGGGATTTTTGTTTTGTTCAAAATAGCAAAACTGGCAAATGGAAACTCGGTAAACGATAAACAGTCATCCGTAAAGGGTGAATAGGATGTGAAAGCACGCATAGACCAAATCCTTGAACGTATAATTTACAAAGTAAATTTTAATTAAATATCCTCATGCAATCCTTAGCTATTTTAATTGAAGCTAAATGACGTCACAGCATATTTTCCGACTGTCGGTTATCCAAGGCAATGCTTGGGAGAACGAGCAGCGGGGGGACGGTAATTAAGCGTGCCAGCGAACTTGACTTGGAATCGGAGATAACGCGCCCAAGCCACGCTAAAGAGTTCATAAAAAAAGGGAGAAGGATCATTGTTGGGATAGCCGGGCGCTAGCGGAGAAGCATTTGCGGAGTGCTATCCTCACTCAGGCTGTGGCAGTCAAGCGGCGAGAGGAGCAGAGGGGTGAAACAATTTTGCACGCTTTGTGCGAATTCTTGAAAAACAAATTAAACGCATTTTAAGACTTGACGACGACCCGACAGCCACGTCATTATGCCTCATTGCGTCCCATCTCAAAAATGAGTCAAGTTGTCGTCAACCAATGACGGATGCTCCTTCCACTGATAATAAGACGGTGTTGAAAGAGTTAATCAAACGCTCAAATAGAGCGACTTGAAGACAAAGCATCTGCAGCTGAAGCTCCAAATTTACCCGATGACCTGCTTGCTAACCATCTCTTTCCCAGCGATGTTATGTAATTGCAAATTTTGCCGTAACATTGGACACAATTATGTTATCTAGCTTACCCATAAGCATTGCTCATGTCCCTTATCACGTCCCCAGCGCCCGGCAAACAAAAGTCCCCAGTCCAGGATACTGTGTTTAGTGAAGCGTACAGCTCCTGCGTGCGATAAGATCAGCTTTATGAAACTTCTGACCGACGTGTGGGTCAATGTTAACGTTAGCGTGGCAAATAATTTGCCATTTGCCATTGCTAATGCGAGGGGCAAAGGAAAAATTATAGCGCAGTGCATAAGCTGATTAGCAAGCCCAGTAACGGCAAACTCATGGGTTTGCTACACTAATGACAGCAAGTTTTATGTTTTCAATTAAGTGATAACAGCTTCGCACCACGCCCAGCTGTAGGGCTCTCCGAAGCACACAACCTGGGGCAAGTCAACCACATTGGTTGACATTCTTAACGGGCTAGGGCAAACAAAGCGCTTTATTTTATTCTTGATGTGATTCTTTTTTCGCCTCAAGCGGGCGTATACTTAATGCCGTTGAAACGGTTAGAGCATTAAGTATACGACTAGCGTAACGCGGTGCAATTGCGATTGCAGCTGCTGCCCACCTTTCCTCCAACAAGTCACTGTTGTTTGACCCATGAACGAACGCAACGCCTGTCGACTGTTTATGAAACTGGCGGCTGCTTTGTTTAAACTTGTGTGCACGAAACTTTAAGAACAACAATAACAACAATAGGAGCAGCAATGCCAAAATGCCATCATTACCAAGCGACAAAAGTTTGTCCTTTTGCCGGCGCAGGGTCGCCCTTTCCTGCTCCTCCTCGCTGTGCCAGAAACAGCCGCAGTAACGACGCCTGCACCATTCCATCCATATAAAGTGCTCCTTGACTCGTTCATGTAGGCAAATGAAGTGAACGGTTTGGTTTCTGCGTCTGCTTCTGCCACAGCCACTGCCATTGCCACTGCCACAGCCACAGCTAAAAAATGAAATACGTATTAAAGGGGAAAAGAAAACAAACGGTCTTACTGCCGGAGAACAACAAACAAAAGGCGGGCACCCGCACACCGCTACAATGGCCCAGGAAAGTTTTCACCCACCGAAAGCCACGACGACGGCGAAGACTGTGCCGCTGACAATAGAAATGCGTTCGGAAAAGTTTATTTTATTTGGTTTTATACTATTCCTGTGCTATTTTGGGGCGACGCACGAGTTTTTCATTTGATTTCCGCTTGCCACACTTTTTGTGACCTCCTCTCCGCCCCAGGTCAGAAACAGAAACAGAAACAGAGCCAGTACCAGTTCAGATTCTGATTCTGATTCTGATTCTGATTCTGATTTGGGACCAGAGTCGCCAGGTTCGGTCATCGAGCTAAAGAGCGTATGTTCGCGTACAAAAGGATTAAGTTGGGTCTGAACACACAGCGACAAACTGGAGCCCCACCCCCTCTATTGACTCCCATTTGCGGACGCCCTTTACGCAGGGAGTAGTTTGAGGTTAATAGCGGAATGGCTTTATTTGGGCCTTAGTAATGACATGATGGCGATATGATAAGCCCGTTTTCTATCGCGCCAGGAGACGTTCATAACACGAATTTTCGTTGCTTTTCTACACAGTGCTGTTATAATATTATAAGATTTTTTTCCAATTATTTTTTTTTTTAACTTTTTTATATATAGCCCATGAGATTCCTCAATGTATAACACATATGCGTAAAAAAAATTGTTTTGAAAACTTATTAAGGAACAAAAACGGTTACTCTTCTCAATTCAGAGCAACTAAAGATGCATGGGCTTGAAGTTTCTCCAAAAAGAATGTATCATTAATTTGGTGGGGAAAATAATATAAACAAGAAAGAAAGCAAACTTCGGCAAGCCGAAGTTCATATACCCTTGCAGCTATTGCAAGAATTTAACATTTTTGAAAACATTAAAATTATGATTTACTGCGTATATGTTAAAAAACATTGAAGCTATGATGATTAGCAGCTCAATTATTTGATAGTTATTTTATATATTTTTATTATTTCTATGGGAGCTATATGATATAGACGTCCGATTTTGATAAAATCTAAACCATAATTCTGAAATATTTAACCATTGCTATATGTCGAAGAACTGAACCAAAAATTAAAAAACAGCAAAGTTATAATTTTTTTCATTTATTTTTCCGATTGTTCCTATGGGAGCTATATGCTATAGTCGTCCGATTTTGATGAAATTTAAACCGTAAATCGGAAATATTTAACCATTACTAAACGTCGAAGAACTAAACAAAAAATTAAAAAACAGCAAAGTTATAATTTTTTTCATTTAATTTTCCGATTGTTCCTATGGGAGCTATATGCTATAGTCGTCCGATCCGGCTCGTTCCGACTTATATACTACCTGCAATAGAAAGACAACTTTTGGGAAAGTTTCATGCAGATAGCTTTAAAGCTGAGAGACTAGTTTGCATATAAACGGACGGACAGACTGACAGACGGACAGACGGACAGACGGACGGACAGACGGACATGGCTAGATCGACTCTACTAGTGATGCTGATCAAGAATATATATACTTTATAGGGTCGGAGATGTCTCCTTCACTGCGTTGCAAACTTCTGACTGAAATTATAATACCCTCTGCAAGGGTATTAAAATATAGAAGTCAAACTTATTTAAAAATTTATTTTTTGCAGTGTTTTGATTGTTCCCATGGGAGCTTTATAATATAGTCGTCCGATTTGAGCCAAATTTAAACAGCAATTCAGAATTAATAAACCATGACTATGTTTCGAAGAATTAAAAATTTATATTATTGCGTTTGCGTTGCAAACTTCTAACTGAAATTATAATAACTGAAAAATAACAAATTAAAGTATTTCTAATCAGCTTTTTATTCCAAACAAAAGTGTTTCCGAGTGCACGGATGGAGAATATAAAACTTTAGCAGAGTGAAGTTTGTTAACTTTTTTTTGCATGACCAGTCACAATGTGAACGGGATAAGTAACCCAAATTCAATTTAGCTATTAATTTTGCGGTCTTTCGCTTTTGACATTTCGATGATTATTCTTGATCGTCTGCAAGTATGAGAGTGTGTTCAATCAAGTTAAAACAGCCGATAAATAAATCAGATTTGTTTCGTTAATGCTTAACACATAAATCTCCACTCTGTGGCGGCAATTAAATTTATCTTTAATTGGCACGTGCAGCCAGCTGGCCCATGAAAAAAGAACAGTGACTCGGCTGGCAAATCCAGCAAAATGGCAACTAGCTTCTTAAACTTTTGAAGCCTTATCGGCATATAAACTCGGTTCCTGCTGGGGGCTTGAAATGGAAGTGGCGTCCAAGTCGCACCAGGCAGCGAGGGGCTCGGCACACCTGCCGCTTAACTCCTGAAAGGAACTTATGTTAACACCCCATACACACATGGGTATACCTGAAGGGGCTGCAAAAAAGGAGCAGAATGTAATTCGGATTTAATTGCCTCTTAACACGCACTCGCGCGGGCACGACCGGTAACAGCTCGTAAAAAACGCGCAAAGGGGCGAAAAAAGACAAACTTCTAGCCCGGACAATGGGAAGCCGTACCAAAGATACTCTATTCTTTCTTTAACGTTGACCGACTTAGGGTATCCCAGAAAATAATTTTCGGATAAATCCGGTCGAACGCATGTGGTTTAAGCGAATGTTGCCTAGGAAAGGTCATGAAAAGGAAAGCGTTTGGATATTGTAAATATGTTAAAACAAGGGGAAACTATTAAGCACAAAGTGAGCAGCTTATAACTCAAGCACAAATCGTATGAATTATCAGGTTTGGTTTGATTTCGCCTTGGGAACATAGAGCTCACTCAGCTTGGCTTCATCGGTTATTACTGAAAATGTTTTGTTTTCATTTTGTTAACTTTTGCCGATAAGCTGCCAGCGCAAATGCGCAACACCTTTATAAGCGAATTGGTATCTCCGCTGCCAGCCCTCAACCCCAGATACGAATACATTTCAAATGCTTTGAATAACTTTTAAATTTGCTTAAACTGCCAAGCCCGCAACGCAATAAAAATAATACGAACAACATCAAGATCCCGCCGGATACACGTCCGACCTCACATATGCTAGTACAACCCAAAGGCTTAAATCGTAGTAAAAGAAGTGCTGAACTGTGCATAAAGCGCTTATAGACACGGAGATATGCGGCCACTGACATTCATTACGACATAAATTCGTTTAGTTGCTTGGACCGGGGTCTGGCACCAAGGACGAGGTAAGACGCAAATGCCAATGCCGACAGTGACTATTTCTTGGTCTCCATTTACAAGCTCCGTTGCTACACGCACGGCGCAAAAGGCCGTAAAGCAAGTGCGTCCTTGCCACAGGGATCCAAGAGATGAGAGTTGAGCCCTCACTATATAGTCGTAAGTCTGCAAGTTGCAACTTTGTACATATGTTTTCATGCAAATAAATTAACCATATACCCCGCCCGGTTGCAGTCTCCTCTGCCAGACAGCCACCTTGGGATGTGGCTGTGGCCCGGCAACCTGTGCAAGTATGTGTGTAATTTAATAAGTTAATAAATGAGTGAGGCCACGGTACGTTGCTGTCAGGGAAGGATGACGCTGAAGATGCTCTTCAAAGGCCAGATACTTGGGTGGAGCTGCACTGACTGAGTCCTGGAGACTGGCCTCCGAGGAACAATACAACCCGTCAACGTGTTAACCTCAGTTCCATCTGTCGGTGTATGTGCAAGTTTGACCTGCTACACAAATGACCATCAGGGCAAGTCAGCAGCTGCCCGGCTGCCTAAATCGACCTTGCAAGAAGAGTGGTGGAAATGGGGGGGATTCTGGATGGCCTTGCCACGTACGTCCTTAACGATTAAAACATTACACAACTTTACCTTATTGCCCATTTAAACGTCAGTTACGGCATGCACCCAAAGATACATACACCTATACAAGCACACCCATCCACACTCACCCACCCACTGCCCTAAAAACGTGCACACATGCCGACTTAAGTCGAGCAACGCTTCGCTGTCAACACCGTTGCAAGTACAATGACTTTAGGGTTTTGTAAACAAATAAAACAATTAAATTGGTTCCACTCTTCAGCCAAATCCTATTAACTGCAACCTAAAAGGAACTCCCTTCAACGCGTTTAAGTGTTAGTTTATACATAGCTCTTACCTGAGTGTGCGTCGCTGCCACTTTCATGCATACTTAATTTGTCAGCTTGGCACAGGTTTACACTCATTTCATAATACGTTAACTAACTAACTGTTGCGTCTCCCTCACCCCCTCTCCCACGGGAAGAACACGTCCTTGGGGGAGGCAGTTAGCTTCCTGTCTGCCGTTGACGCCCGATGAGAACGTGGGCGACGGAAGGTGGATAGGTCCGTGCAAGGGTGGCCTGCAGAATTTATAGTCACTCACATATGGGGCCGCATGGTGTTTTCATTTAAATTTTATAACGCCTTAAGACAGGTCGAAGTACCACCACTTTAGCAGTTGAGTTTGCATTGTAATTTAAATTGTGTATGTGCTCAAGGCTGTAACGCACATGTGGGAAGGGGGGCAACGCAACTCTAGTGTCGCGAAAGCTGCTTCCTAGCTAACAGTTTGTAAGTGTGGTAATTACAAAATTTTATGTGATTACTGCTTGTACACACACACATAGTCACGTGTGAGGACCGTATTACGAAAAGAACGAAAGCGTTAGCAAACCGCTCCAATGAGGAGGGAAAAGTACAAAAGCGCCTATTAGAATATTAATAGAATACTAAATAAAACGTCAGTTATGCCATCGCCCTCCATCCCTCCATACCCACTGCATTGTCCAAATTCCAGACACCTGCTTGTCGGATAGGATGAATCTGCCGCAGAGCGGACAAAATGGGGAGTTCGGTGACTAAACTTGAACCCATCCCATCACAATGCACCGCAGGCCAATTTAAAGGGTTCAGCTGGCGTATTCAATCTGTTGGCTGCTGAGCAGGCCATAAATGATGCATGAGCAATTGACGATGGCAAGTCCATTGAGGACAAAGGCCAACGATGCGTCTGCACTTGGATCCAGTCCGTGAAGTTGCGGATAGAGAAGCTTTTAAATTGAATTGGAAAGCGCGCGAGGTAACTTTCACTGCTCACAAAGCTTCCTGGCAGCGCTTGGCAAGCTCGTTTTCAGCTCAAAGCAGTCCTTGGATGAAAGAATAACTCAATTTAGCTGCCCGAGGAGTCATCGTGTGCCGTCGTACCTTTGGTCGGAAACTCCCACAACGACGACTATCACGACCGTAAGGACGAAGACAAAACCACGACCTCATCACTTGTCCCGGCTGGCCATGCAGGGCCTATGTCTGAGTCCGCGTTTGCGATGCCGTTGAAGTCCCGTCATCGTCACTCAGCCATCGTCGGCGTCGCTTAGACGCTCCCACAAAACACTTCAAACGTTCTACGGTTCAATTTAAGTGGTGCTAGAAGGCGTTAACCAACGAGCACTCGGCTTGAGTCCTCGTTTGAGCGCTTTGCTGTAAAAAGTGCGCACAATCCTAGCCGTCGAATTAAAAATCCGTATGTCCAACCAATTGCAGGGACAGACGTTGTTGTTTTTCCGCTTTTAGAACTCCATATCCTGGCATTTGTTTTCAGAATTTTCTTTTGAAATCATTTTAATTGTTTAATTGTTGTTTACGCATGTATTTATCTATCTGTACTTTCAGTATTACAATATATGATATATAAAGATTTCATACCTCCACTCCACACTTTATACATAAACATTATATTTCCTATCCGTGGTACAAAAATTAACAACAAATTAAAATTATTGCCTTTTTCAAAGCATTTGCAATTTGCTAATATAGATACACATACAAATACATTTGATTATTTATATATATTAATATATACGTATCAGTACTCTCGCACTTGAAAAATCCAACGGCAATTTTATATTCAACTGTATTAATATATGTATTTATATCCATATCCATGTTCGAACTTATTTACTCATATATATTTTTTGTTCATAATTATACTGGTATTCGTACTTGTGTACCTGTAATATTACATATGTATACGTTTAGGTATAAATAGCTCTTGTGGTTCATTGGATGATATTTCATTGTCTTCGTATTGTGCCTAATGCCAGCATGATGCATCTGATCATAATTATCATACAAACATTTTCTAAATAATAATATTCGTTGCAAGATTATCTACATGAATACAGTTAGGTTTACGGCCGAGTCAATTTGTATTTCAGTATGATGCAGTACAGAGTTATATGAAGAAGACAGTCTTATGTACAATATCTTAGGACTGCTTTGTGTAAATGGTTCTGCGTTTTTGTTAATCAATCATAATCCTCGATGGTTAAAGTTTTTGATTTGATAAGAAGGAGAATTATTAAAAATAAAAACTGTGCGAATATACATAAGACAGATATATAATATAGTTAACTCAAGAGGTGGAATTAATGTGCAACCATCATAAAAGACATAAAAATAACATATTTCATTAAAATTTTTACACGATCGTTTCCTCTTGCATCTATAGGATATATTCGCCTGATCACAAAGACTTTTAAACAAAATCGGTATAGACATAATAAAACAATTTGATATATTTCGTGTTAAAAACCTTTAACATTACGCTAGTCAACGGCCAGTATGAGACATATATGACAGCTATAAGAATTGGTCATTCGATTTTCGTCCAAAAGGTATAGGTCCGGAAATGGAATAAAAAACGTTAGCCAAAAAGCTGAGTTTTTAAACTAGATCTTCGTAAAATGTAATTGCAAAAGTTTTAAGCCTTAAGCTTTTAAGCAGAGCTAGCAATAGGTATGACAGCAGAAAGACGACTAGACTGATTAAGAATATGAATTATGAAAAAAGTGAAATATGGAAAATGAAAAGGGACGACTGCGCTGCACACTTTTGACGAAAATAATAATAACCTCCGCAAGGGTATACAAACTGCGCATATTCGGAAATATTTGAACTGATATATGTGACGACATGTGTTTGGCAAAAATTTGTAGCGATTTCTAACATGAAAAAAAATTTTTATTCTGAACCGATCCTTTAAAACCGATCCGAATTGGGTAGGCACACATTCACAGGGAAAAATGCATTTAACCTGGAAGTCTATACCATTTTATTTTAAAGGATTTTACGTCGCAATAACGACAATGTTGATATATTTATTACGAGACTGGCCTTTGGTGGTATTCTATGCTTGATTATAAATTTATTATTTTCTGTACTGCGTTAGTATTTACTTTGTTGATATAGTATGTATCTATATAGGACATGCCTATGCCTCTGAATTGCCATCTGTACTAGTAAACACAACATCCAAATGTCTAAGAAGCTCTTGATTTTGTTCTTTAAGTTTCGGTATAAACGATTATGGATGCAGATATATGCGTATGCATGATTAATCATATTTGTTTAAGTTTTTCTACTATGTAGTTAGGCATACCACTCTATGTTACAGTTAGAATATGAATAATTTAACATGAATGTGATGATTTCTGTGCATACAGCTAAAGTTATGGTAATGAGCAGTGAGCGATCTGTCCTTTTCATTGCCTTGAACCGCATACTTGTATACTGGGTTGTCCGGTAGCCTAGCTCCTTACTCTGTATCCAAACCGCCTTCATTTCGGGCATCGCTATCCAACGTGGACGTGCTGTCTTGCAATCACCTGCAGACGGTAGAGTCATCGCCCGCACATATCGAATGCGACGCTGCCAAAAAAAGCTTGCCGTTCGAGCACGCGCAGAGTTGGAAGACTCGGTGCATATGGTCCCGACTCTGGGCGGTACCCAGGATGGGAGGCTGGGCCGTTCGCAGGTTGGGCATAAGTATCTTCGAGGATTCCAAACGCAGCTGCATCGATAAGAGCACATAATTGGGCAAGTGATTTTGAAGTGAGCCCTTGCTGTGCCTACTACTACACCAATTTGTCTTTCAAATAATCATACTTACGCTCCCATCGAGGGCTCGGAACTTGACATCTTCCAGGGCCACAACTTCTATTCCTCCTGCCCGGGATTGCAAGTTGATGTCCTTGGCCGCCATCATCTCCAATTGGCGGGTTGGAGATTCGAGTCTGTAATTAAATCAGGACACAAGTTTTGCGATGCCGCCTTACTAAGTTAATGGGAAAAGCGTTTGCCCAGTCCCAGAGGAGTCCGCCGGAGGTGGATGACCAGAGTCTCAGAGATTGAACATGGTTACGAAGCCGTTTTCCCCGAACCTCAGCCTAATGAAACGGAAAGTCACTCAATTGCGTGGGTGCCGCCAATGGACCGCTGAATGGTGCCCAAAGAACAATTCAAATTTAAATTAAATTGCTGATATGACTACGCGTTGACATCGCCAACCAGCTCGTCAACTGAAATATGCGAGTGTGTATCTGGTGCCAGACAATCATGAAAATGAGCCAACAGGCAGTTATCACCAAATTTGTCAATGAAAATGTTATTACAAGCCGCCGATCCTGTTAATGGTTCATGCGTACACACGCGCTCACACGTACAGATGGGCGATGGATGGGCCTTTGCGCATAATGCAATGACTGCCTCCCAATCCCAGTCAAAGCCCCAATCTCAGTCCGAATCCCGTCCGGCGTTAGTCAAACGGGAAAAAGGTCTGGCCCCTTTGGCGCTTTTTAATTCACTGCCATCGCTTGTGTACATTCTGACAAATGTGTATAAATATTTTCACTTCCCAAGCCCGCGCTCAGTGAGCTGAATACCGACACCTTATGAAAAGGTTGGTGAGTGTTGATGGCGATGCAGGTAAGGGTGCAGTGCACCACCAGGCCACCATCTGTCCCACACTTGACTGTTGTTTGTGGGCGATATGAGGGACTGTCGGTAGTCTGACTGTTGTTTTGAATACCGCAAAGGTTACGTTGACAGAGGCGCACGAACGCAACTGAGTGTTTGTTTTTAATTTTTTATTTCTCAGATTTCCCCAACCGAAGAACGACTAATATGCGACCACAGTATACCATGCCCGTCCCTGCTCTGCTACGAATTCCTGCAAATTTATTACATTCATTGAATTTCAACACCGGACTACGAGTGGCTGCAGTAGATTGGCTTTCGATTTCATTTACTTTAATTGGTCATGGACTTGCCACTGGCATGTTTTCCGTACCTTGCCTCTTCAACGGTAGATCGTTCGGGCCAAATCGCAGTCCTCGGTTTTCAGGGTCTGGACCTCTAGCTATGGACGTGGCTCTGCACTTACCTCAACTCCCGACCTGGCTCGGCGCGCACATGCGGCGTCTGCACGGACTCCCGAAATACGGCGCCACCTTCGCCGTCGATCCGCAGGGCGTGCGCTCCGATTGTGACTTCATTTCGGTTTACGGAAAAAAGGCTGCGACCGTTGGTGTCGTTTATGCGAAATCCCGCAGACAGGCACTCGAACTTATCGTGTCCCAGAAATAAATGATTCTCAATCATACCATTCGGGTCACGTGTATTGATTGAAAAATTACGTGATGATTCTGTTGATGATGGCGACGATGGGCCGTGGAGTCGCACGAAAGTCGGAGAAATGGAAACGGAAGAAGATATGCGACATAAATGAGATAGATATTTACGGAGGATTGTTTTATAAAGGTAAGGGTAAGGGAAAATCAATTCAAATGTTTGTATAACAAATGCGGATAATTTCAGCAGTAATTGCAATATAAATTAGTAAACACACACCGCCAAACAGCCGCCACACATGATTATGCAAATACAAGAGGGTTCCTCTTAAAGATAGCACATAACAAGACGGCGGAAACGGAAATCAAACCTTTGGCTCCTCTCTCCCCTATTGTCTAAGCCCAGTGCGACGCGTCGCAGTCGAAACCATCTCTCTTGGCTATCAACTATCAACCATCGCTGTCACCTGGTTGGGCTGTCCTCCGCCATGACCCTCCACCGACTCACCCTCTCGGTCAGGATCCGTCGCCCATCGCACCAACTTCTCCGTCACACTCACTGTCCCAGCTTCCGCGCGTGTTTCTGTGGTTGCTTATCGCTGCGGGAAATGCTCTGCTTCTTGCAGTGCTGTTCCTGCTTTCCTTTTTGATAACATTTTCCTGGCGACAATGGACGAAGGTCCCTTGGAAATCGCATCAGTCTTCTTTGGTCGTGGTTTCATATGGTTTATCTGTAATTGTACATCTTGGTTGCTGTTCAATCGGCTGCCGTTTTAGATGGAGGAGCAGCCGCCCCGATCTTATTTGCCGACGCTAAGCGCCTCTGATTTCCTGCTCGCCTTCGTGGCCAAAATGTATGATATCTGTTGATTTATGTCTTAAGTTGCAACGGCAAGTCCCTAAACACCTGCCTGTGCACCGACCATCTATAAATTTGTAAGCTCAGTGCACCTGCCCTTAAGCACAAGACAACAAATGAGTCTGCTAACGCTTTTTAGAGGCTGCGTAAAAGCGGCAAGCCATTCAGCCAGTCATCGGAGGCAGCGCACGGCGACGTTCATGACTTTAACATTTGCGAGGAGGTTCAACAGTGGCAATGTCGTTTGGTTATTGTCCCTCACACCTGAAATGCTGAGCGATAGCTCCGGCGTGACCATGATTAAACGAACCGAGTGTAGAATGTGGGAACGTGAATGGTAAAAATTTATGAAATATGCAAAACACGCGGGCGTCGCACTAAGTAGACCCCATGGTGGGGATAGGAAGGGAAGGCGCAATGCTGAATGGGGTGGTGGCTGCGTGTATGACGGTGTTTGTTCGCACCTAATCGCCCTCGGAAACGCTCGAAGCGAGTAACGGGAACGCATTTCACACTCACCTATTGAGATGGGTTGACCGTGACGCGAACGGATTGTCGATGTGCGCAGCGTGTCCATGATTATTGCTTGTCCCGACAGCTGTATGCCACCGGGTACGATTTTAAGCTGACCCATGCCTTCCTAAAAGCGGCAAGCGAATAGTTAGTGGGGTCAATCTGGGACGGGGGGACGGAGTCTATGACGCAATTACCGTTGAGAACTCCATCACTTTGAGAATCCAGAGGGTAAGCACGAGGTTTGTGATAATAAGCAGCATTAGCAGCAACAGCAGAGTGTACAGGCACTTCTTTCGCCATCCAATGAGGCCTAAATACATCTCGATCCCCCCGACATATCCGTCTACGTTGGAGCTCCCAGGTGCGGCGCTGCGACCCCCTCTGTCGATTCGCCCATGACCTTGGCCGTGGCTGACCGTTGCCTTGACCGTCGTCGTTGTCACAGTCGTCATGGTACCTCCTCCCTTAGCCGGGGATAGGGCGTTTGGAGCTACACAGCCGCTTGCGGAGCCACTGCTACCGTTTCCGTTGCCGCTTGCTCCGCCGGTGCTGCTGGCTGTTATTGGGCCAGAACGGTGGCTGGTCTTAGGGGGTCGCTTGGCCGTAGTACCAACCGCTAATCGGTGTCTGCTATTCTCAGCGGAGCGGGCTTGCAGTGGCCGCGAGGTTGGCCCGAAGTCACTGATCTCACTACTGTCAGCAGCCAACATTGCTCATCAACTGCACAGCAGCTAGTAGCTGCATGAGGCGTTCATGATTGTTTGGTTTTCTTTATTCTGCAAAGAAACTAAATGTAACAAAATTCGTAGTTTCAATAAAAATTTTGAGAGCCACTTTCGAGCCTCGTATTGTGTGTGCCAAATTGAGCTGATGTCACAGTATGTATTTGGGAGCCTAAGCATTGGTAACCATGCATGGGTAACTCCTTTATGGAGTCCTCGTTTGTCAGAATGAACTGCAACATTTAAATATGCAGCATTCAAATATGCAGTAGGCTGCTGCAGTTACCCTTCATTGATAGCATCACGCATCCAGCTTCGCCTCACCTCCACCTGCAGCTTCAGCTCCGGTTGCAACTGTTACTACAAATGCACCAGTTGATGACTTTAGTGGCGTCAGCTGTTGGCGACTTCACACGTGGAGTCATTCAATTATGCACGCCTGCAGCTACATTTACGAAATGATGACGAATATGTGTGCTGCTTGGGCGAATTTACATGCAACAGCTATGAAACTAACGACAGGGTGGGTTCGGAGTATTTATTAAAGCATACTTTCAAAAGAAATCATAATAAATAAAATAAAAAGTTGTATATGAATATATTATAGACTTTTTGCTCATGATGCTTATAAATAAATAAATAGGTAGTTCTAGTGTTGCAAAATAATTATTTTCCAGCCAATCTGATGTTAAAGATAAATTGTAAATGTGGTTGTTTCGTGTTGCCTTTGCTACTTAAAAGGGTTAAGTATAATACCAAATGAAAAGGTAATTGTAAAGTAAATTCGGTTTCTCCGACTGACCAGGTCGATCAACGATGCTCGCGAGTTGTGAACCGTGTCTCTAATTAAGATTTATGGCGTTCATCGCGACACGTCGCTTCTTGATTATCTTGAGAACCAGTGGCATGAACTGTTTGATACAACAGTATAAATAACAACAAAAATGTATAAATAAATGAATAGATATTTTCGGTTCAGCATCTTATTATACCCTGGCAGAGGAAAGCATAATTTAGTCAAAAGTTTGAAATGCAGTGAAGGAGACTTTTACGACCCGGAGAGTCGATCTAGCCATGTTCGCTCTTTTATCTATACTACACCTCACATAGGGAAAATGTTGCTGAATATCGAAATGGTTTTTTTAAAACATATCGGACCTTACATTTTTTCTTGTTTTTCCTACGAAATTGTGCGTGGTACGCCTTGGTACGAATTATGTCTTAGTCCAACTTTTTCTCAAATCTACATATTTCGATATTCGAATGTTGAATGTTAGAATGTAGAATAGCTTTTACATGTGCTTACATACACACTCCCATAGTGCTCTCCGTCCTATCCGTTCCGTCAGCACGGACGGAATTTTGTTTATTTTTGTCATAATGTTTATACAGTCTGCGTCGGTAATTACTTCAATTGTTTACGTTCTAATTCAGTGTATTCTAAGTGGCGAGGAGCATAGAACAAAAAATTGAGAACAGGGAAGGCGTCTCCGTGAATAATTTAGGCAATTTAAGTTAAGGGATTGTGATTTGCACAAGAGCGGTCAATTTCGAAATAAAACAAATTTGAGGTGTGGCATCTGCCGACTTTTTTCCACACCAAATCCGTAGGGCAGCTGTTGGGCAATACCAAAAGCCCCTAGGGGCAGTTATCGGAGGGGAAGGTGGGCGGTAGTATTTGTCAGTTAAATGGAATTAGTTTAAACTGCAAACTACAAAGCGTACGGAAAAACAAAAGGGAATACATATTTGGGGTTTTTCGACTAAATGTAGAAAAGAGAAGGGTTAACACAGGCATTTAATGTTTTCAATCCTGCCCCAACATTTGAGTTAATAGCAAAGTCTCAGCAAATAAGCAGTTATCGGTAAAAACTTACACAGTGTGATATATATGTGAGTTGAGAAGGTTAATCTCAACTTGCTTTTTATTATTATTCTATAAAGTTAGTATAGAAAGATACAAAATATTTGACTGTCGGCTTTTTTCTTACGGCGTCACTTTTTCTCTGTCTGCTTCTGCTTCTGCTGCGTTTCTTCTTTTTCTCCTTCTGCCTCTGCTTCTGCTGAATTCCTCTTCTATAACTGCCCATTCTTCGATCATCCAAAAAATCCATAACGCGTTCTATACATTTCTGCTGCTGCTTTACTGCTCTACTGCTTTCTGCTTTTCGGCTGATGTACTGCTTATCCTGCGGCTTCTCTGCTGATATACTTCACAATCTTGCATATGTATATTTCTTTTTTGGAAACGCATTTATTGCAGGCCCACCGCGGTACCAATCAGGAAAGAGAGCAGCAGATGTAGCCATTTTCAACCGGCGTCTCCCCAACAATCTGAAAATTCGGCCAGTTTCGAAGAATCTCCGAGAACCGTTCAAGGGAGCTGAAGGTGATTTAGTGTCTGCAGACAGACGGTGAGTAAAAGCTCGCACCATATGACGCCGGGATCGGGAGTCGGCGGGTAGAAACGTAGTGAAATATAAACTACGCTGGGCACAAGCAGCACGTGCCGCACGTTACAGTAAAGTTGCCCATACAGATGCCGCTCACTTAATTTTGCTATTGCTGCCCCATGTTTTTATTACGACTTCTGTCACATCCATGCATATGTTGGCTGCAGATTTTCCGTTTACATTGTCTAATGTTCATGGGAAATTACTGCCTTCGCCGTGCGTATGCCGGATGTGTTGAGAAGCACGTAAGTTTTGCGGACGTTTGTTTAACTCGGTATAAGGATCAACCCAACCGATCGTGGTTGATATGGCCCAACTGGCAACTGGCCTGCTGCCGCCCATGGACATCTCACGCTCATTGCGCATTCATGAATAACAACTTATGTATATGTTTGATAGTTCTCTGCCATAAGTAGTTTCAAGCGGAATGGGCTTATGTCAAGGCAGGCACCGACCGATTTAGCAACCGCAGTTGCACAAACACAGACGGAGGCGGATCGGATGCCGTGAATAGAATCAGGTGCCGACCCATCTAGACGGCGCTCTTGATTTCACCCATTTATAGAAATGAACTCGTAAATGGAAAGTATTGCATTGTCTTGCTATTAAGTTATCAACGAAGTCAGACACACGACGGACGCAGACACGGGCGTAGACATGGCCGAAGACCCATATGTATATGTGGTTTGGGCCAAATGGGTTTTGTTACCAACCAGCAACGTGGGGTTGAGCAGGCTGTGCTACGGCACGTTCCTCGCAAGGGACTCGGACCCGGACCTAAATTCTCGTTCTGCACACTAAGTTGTAGTCCCAGTCGAAGTTGTGGCTTGGCATAACACTTCTCCTTCCAATTCAGACACAGCAGTTCCATATTTTGCAACAATTTCATGTTGTGTTTTGTGCGAAAGCTTGTAGTTGCCACTTTTAATGGCGTTTCGTCCGTTTTGGAAACAGCAGCGGCTACGCCAGCAGACAACACTTGTTGTCATTTTCATAGCTGTACTGTATATGTATATTGTTATGTCCTTGTTGCCGCCTGTAGGACATTTTTATTCCAATCATGCGTAAGTGGCGTAAGGGCAGTAATTCTCAACTTTTTTGCAATCATGTGGGAACAAACTAATACGAGCCTTTCAAACGGCTTGTAATTGGCACTGCTTCAGATCTTTTTGGGCCATACACAAACAAAATGAATACCACTTATTTAAATCAAATGGATAAAGACGTAGCTGCATTTTGCTGGTGACTTTAATCTTTTAATGGGACATCGATGCATGAGTTTATAGACATATACGTACTGTTACACTCGAATGCCTTTATTGCAAACTTAAACGGGGTTTTTAACAAATTTCACGTGAAACCTTGACAAAATACAATCAAAATGAAATTCGGAGCTATTGGTCTCTTGGCCTTATTACGAAACACTTAAATTTGAGACCGATCGAGGCGACGCGTTGACCTTCACAAGTTTAGTCTCCAGACATAAACAAAAGTTTCATAACTCAAAAGGCACAGCACGTGGCAATGAACAAAACACATACAACAAACACTCAAACATAATTTTTTAAACCGCTTGAATTTTGAAATCTGTCTTTGATTTAACGCTTAAGGAGCGCTGCCGTATGCGCGCACGAGAACCGTACTCGTACACGCCAGCACAACAACTAACGGCAGAATCACTAGCCGCAATATCAGCCATTTCGTTTGAGGCACAGCGCAGCTAGTCGCTGAGGCGGTTTCGTGTCCGCAAAGCTTTTGCCGAACGGTGCTTCCGACCAGTTTTCACTCAAACATCGGTTGGCTGTAGCTGGTTCCCCAGTCCCCACCGTTGAATCGTCCATGCTCGGCACCTCTCGAGTGGATACCGAGTGGCGCGGCCCTCGGAAAAGGCGAGTTGTTTACCTTTTGGCCGAAGCGAGCAACATGTGGCTTGCAGTAGCCACGTGTTGCTGCTTCTTTACTGTCGGCCTTGCCCTTCGAGTCATTCTGGGTTGACTCTAAAATATACGAAATTTTATCAACTAGGTGATCTTTTCTATTTTCGTTCGAAATCGCATTCGGGTCGACTCCAAGTAATCAAAGTTTTGGTAAAGATCTTAAAAAAAAATTTAAGAAACAGCAAAGTTCTAATTTTTTTTTTTATTTATTTTTTCGATTGTTTCTATGGGAGCTATATGCTATAGTCGTCCGATCCGACTCGTTCCGATTTATATACTACCTGCAATAGAAAGACAACGTTTGGGATAGTTTCATGCAGATAGCTTTAAAACTGAGAGACTAGTTTGCGTAGAAACGGACGGACAGACGGACGGACAGACGGACGGAAAGACGGACAGACGGACAGACGGACAGACGAACATGGCTAGATCTACTCTCCTAGTGATCCTGATCAAGAATATATATACTTTATAGGGTCGGAGATGTCGCCTTCACTGCATTGCAAACTTCTGACTGAAATTATAATACCCTCTGCAAGGGTATAACAAAAAAGGAAGCAAACTTAGGCAAGCTGAAGTTTATATACCCTTGCAGCTATTTCAAAAATTAAATATTAAATATATATGGTTAAAAACATTGAAGATATTACGATTTGCAGTTTAATTATTCGATAGTTCCTAGGCAGCAATATGATATCGTTTTCCAATTTTAACAAAATTAAAAGCGTAATTCTAAACTGTCAATTTATTAATAAGTCAAAAAGAATTTTTAAAAAAAATTACAAATAGATAAGTTAACTTATGTACTACCTGGAATAGAAAGACAACTTTTAGGAAAGTTTCATACAGATATCTTTAAAACTAAGAGACTAGTTTACGTAGAAACGGACGGACAGACGGACATCGCTAGATCGACTCTTATAGTGATTTTGATCAAGAATATATATACTTAATTGGGTCGTAAATGTCTCCTTCTTTGCGTTGCAAACTTTTGACTGAAATTATAATACACTCTGCAAGGGTATACAAATTTAAAAAAATTTAATTTTTTTATTTAAAAATTTTTTTTTAAATTATTTTTGACTTATAAATAACTTGACAGTTAAGAGCTTTTAATTTTATTAAAATCGGAAAATAATATCATATAGCTGACATAGGAACTATCAAATAATTGAGCTGCAAATCATCATAGCTTCTTCGCCTAAAGTGGAACTATCCTATCCCCCATCTAGGGAGTTTCATCCCTTTGCTTTCCCCAAACAAACGGAATTAAAATATTAAAACCATGTTCATCTTTGGCCAAAGTTCATATATCTTGAGCTTTCATTAGAAGCACGCTTGTAGGGCGGGGTAACTGCTGCCTGACAAACAAACTTGCGTTCTCGCTTACTTTTGCCTGCCAACATAACTCCGTATACACACACGCACACCGGCTCGGGTCCAGGCCCTGCTAATTGTCCCTGCCAATTGAGATGGAGCCGGAAAAGGATGTGGGATGGTCCTGGTCGGTTCAGTTCATGTGCCGAACACGTCTGGGCGGGGCTTTGGTCTACGATTGTTCCCAGGAGATCTGGCTCAGGGCGATCAAGTCAAAGAGTAAGTGCGGTCCTTATATAGGGCTGCCTTACCGTTGCACTTGCATACGCAGCAGCGCCAAAAAACAATAGAGTGTTAAAGAAGTGAAAAAAACCGCCCCGTTGTGTATTGTTAAAACCCTATTTTCAGCGGCTCTGCTGGAAGTGGGCGTGTGTGCCCAAAAAACCTTTGTAGCGCTTCACACACTCGAACAAATCTGAGAGGGAGTGTCCCGGGGTCCTGGTTAAAACTTAAGTAGGTATGCCCGTCCCAATACACCCACATCCCCAACCAACACACACGTTGCCGCACATATATACTGTGCTCCGGACTCCGGACTCCCTAACCAGGCTGGGTTTTTGGTCTTAGCTTTGGATGGTCGAAACAGATGTCGTCCTCATAGTTTTCGCCTGTCCCTTTATGCATTTATAATATCTTAACTTGTTTTCAACTGGATTTGGCTCTTTTATTTGGAAGCAGCATGGTCGTGCTGGAAAAATAATGAGCCTTTGCTTTTTCATAAGTAGTATGAGCCTCCCAAGAAAATATAATTTAAATCTAGGAGTCAACACAAAAGACACTTTTCCTTAAGAATTCAACTAAATAAATACACTTTTTGAAATGTTCTCCTTCGTCCCGCCGGCATTTTTATTGCAGCGTGTCCTTTTCAAAAAAAAAAGTGTGTTATGTATTAAAGATTGGGTAATCTCTAAAGTAGGGTTCGAGACTAGAAAGAAATTACAAATAGAGTTATTTACAAGAAAGGAAGCATACTTCGGCAAACCGAAGTTCATAAACCCTTGCACCTATTGCAAAAACTAAATATTTTTGAAAACATTAAAATTATGATTTACTTGCGTATATGTTTAAAAACATTGAAGCTATGATGATTTGCAGCTCAATTATTCGATAATTCCTATGGCAGCTATATAGTATCGTTATCCGATTTTAATAAAATAAAAAGCGTAAATCTGATCTGTCAAATTAATAATTAGTCAAAAAGATTTTCTAAAAAAAAATAATAAAATAAAAAAGTTAATAAAAAACAATTTTTTTTATATTTTTGTTGTTCCCGTGAAAGCTTTAAGTTATAGTCGTCCGATTTTTATGAAATTTGAACCGTAATTCTGAAATATTCAACCGTTACTATATGTCGAGGAACTGAGAGACTAGTTTGCGTAAAAACGAACAGATAGACAGACGAGACAGACAGACAGACAGATATAGAGACAGGGATAAATCATCTAGATCGGCTAGATCGACTCGGTTAACTACAATGTGATCAAAAATATATTTTATTATTTATTGCGTTACATATTTTATCCATTATTCCCGTTTACTCTTCAATTAACGGGTATATTTAACAGTTAAAACACTCCACTTCTATTTTCTCACAAAAGTGCGAATTTATAAATATAATTTCGTTGCTTTTTTTGTACATTGTAACATACATCAACATTATCATATTTTGTGGGAACACTGGCTTTTCTTTTGTAAACTCATAACTGTCTGAGAACCGCAAATCCCCAAAAAAATCTACAATTTGTGATTATTTGAAGATTGTTGATTTGTCCTAAAAAAACACTCAGTGGCAGTGGGCAGCGGTCACGCATCCGCGAACGTTAGCCTACTTCTTAGTCTTTGTCTGCGGCCTCGTTATCATCAACATGGGGTTGCAACTCCGCGGGATGGAGAGCAAAGCCAGAAAACTTTGGCCGTATGCTATTTGAGCAAGTTAAGTAGACAAACTTATCCCGTCTTAGTTGCTTTGACCTTTTTATACCCTTGCAGAGGGTATTATAATTTCAGTCAGAAGTTTGCAACGCAGTGAAGGAAACATCTCCGACCCAATAAAGAATATATATTCTTGATCAGTATCACTAGGCGAGTCGATCTAGCCATTTCCGCCTGTCCGTCTGTCCGTCCGTATATACGCAAACTAGTCTCTCAGTTTTAAAGCTATCTGCATGAAACTTTCCCAAAAGCTGTCTTTCTATTGCAGGTAGTATATAAGTCGGAACGAGCCGGATCGAACGACTATAGCATATAGCTCCCATAGGAACAATCGAAAAAATAAATAAAAAAATTATAATTTTGCTGTTTTTAAGTAAAAATCAAGTCAAAATCGGGCGACTATATCATATAGCTCCCATAGAAATAATAAAAATATATAAAATAACTATACAATAATTGAGCTTAAAATCATCATAGCTTCAATGTTTTTAGACATACATACGCAAGTAAATCATAATTTTAATGTTTTAAAAAATATTAAATTTTTGCAATAGCTGCAAGGGTACATGAACTTCGGCTTGCCGAAGCTTGCTTCCTTTTCTTGTTCTTTTTTGTGTGTGGCAAGTTTGCTTGGAAATGCGTAACGGGTAGTCGAAGCAAAGGCATAGGATATTGACTAAGTTGCTTTTTACTGGCTCCTTCTAGGTTAGGTTTGCAAATGTAAGGCTACACAATCCACGGTCCGATGTTCCACTGTCCCATTGCTGCGGCAAAAGTTTGCTTCATCGCTTCATCAATTCTCTTTGGCTTTGACTTGTCCTAGACAAAACACACACACACACACACACACACACGACTCCCACGCACGCTCAATTCTACTTGCGTCTACTTTGGCTTAATCGCACATAAGCGGTGAGTTTTTTTTTTTGTGTACTTAAGAAACCACTTAAGAAGTCGTTAAATAATCAATGAATAAAGATTCAGACAAGAAAGGCGTGCCTTTTCGCTGTGTTTCTTCTTGCCGTCGCAAAAATTGTCATAAATAAATAAGTAAGTCGTGGCAGCAAAGGCTTGCACTCGGCCTGCTTGTCATTGTGCGATGTCTCTGTAAAATAGTCAGACCCACCACATTCATGCAGATAATTTCTGGATTGTCGGCTGGAAGAGTACAATCGTTTTTGAATCAATGTGAGGGAAAAACAAAAAACAAAAACTTTTCTAGGAGGGAAAACCGTCAGAGAAAATTTTTTTAGTGAAACCTGAGTCGGGTAATTGAGCGAAAACGAAGGCAGAATTGTTTATGCAGTCGCATATGAGTACACGGGGGAAAACTAGCATTTCGAAGTTACAAGTTTAAAATATTTTTTTCGGCAATCGGATTCTTAATTTAGAGTGGTTTGTATTGACAAACGTATTTACATAAAAAACATAAACAATGGTAACGGGTCCTT